CGGTACACAAAAACTTTTCTCTTTTATGAGAGGCAGAAAGATTAAGTGCTACCTCTCTTTCTGATCTGAGGGGAAAAGGTTCCCTTTTTCTCTCTTTGTCTCCACACTCAAATTTGGCCAGAATTAGAATGCAGAGAGAGAGAGAAATTATTTTTTTCCAAAAGTTTCAAAACCTTCTTACTTTCAAAACCTCTATTCACACTGTGCAAATAAATTATACTTCCTTAACCTTTCTACACATACTCCTCTCTCTTACATGCTTAAACTTTCTTGCCTTTCTTTCTAATGGACTTTGATTAAAGTCCCTTTAAAACCACACATATCTTATTTCTTTCTAATTCTGACCTGACACTTCGAAAATCCTTCTCAACTTCTTTTTACCAATCATATAACCTAAATAATAAAGTATTTTTCTCTCTTTCTCTCTCCCATCCACCCGCTCCTCTGAGGCTGCTGTTACCAGGGAGGAAGAGGGGGAGAGAAAGAGTCCAGCTGCAGCCTTTTGCTGTCTGGCTGCAAAAGATACACATTGACACTCACTCATACCACGCACAGACACAAACACACACAAAAAAATAGACATACAACAACCCTCCGCCCTGTAGAATCCTCAAATCATCAAATCATATTTAATCATTTTCTTCCTATCCTTTCCTCTATATTTTGGTAGTTCATTCCAATTCTGCAATTGATTGCCTAAAGGACTGTCTATAGGTACCTCACATTTTTGTGCTCCAACTGCTCAGATTTAGATTGTTCCTTTCCCATTCCTAGGCCCTCACCTAGGGAATTTACAGGAGTCGTCACCGAACTCCCCGAGTCTAAAGACTCAGGTGAATCACCAAGGAGGGTCGCCCACTCCTCACCAGTCACCCATGAAGCTTTCTCAGAGGCATCCTTTCAATGAGGTATCTATTCCGCAATTTGATTAGGCCCGGGCTTAGCCTAAACTAGAGTCCACCCTAAAGGGCCCTCACCCTATGTCAATTACCTCCAGACCCCTGAGTGCTTACCTCTGGGTTGCACGCATACAACTTACGTGACTGCTCTCACTCACCAGCCAGCCAGAATTTCTTAGTTTTGTTTTAATCGTCAGAGCCCTAACAGACCTTCTGTTCCTCCAACTCCCTCTCTTTGGGTTTATTTCAAAGACTGGGTGGCAACTCCCCTCCGGGGCTCAAGACCTCCAAGAATTCTCAGATGCATGCTTGGTCTTGACCTTGGCAGGGAAGCCCCCTCCCTAATCAAAGAAAATCCTGGACGATCCCCCAATTGAGTGGGATAGAGACCACTTACCCAAAATAAAATTCAGAGGCTTCTCTAGGTAGGAACAGAAGTTTTATTTAGCAAGTCTCGTGCGAGAATTGGGCATCACCTACTCAGGGCGGACTGGAGTAGGGAGGCAAGATACAGGCAGCAAACAAGCAGTTATATACCCTTAGACAAACAAGTCTAACCCCCCCACTTGTTTACCTCAATCTCTTTGTCCTCTTTGGTTGAGGTGAGACACCTTACCTTCTATTTAGAAACTAAGAGATCCTTTTTACCCAAAACAAGCTTGGCAGCTAGAGGATTGCCTTATTTGGTAAAGATAAGGCTGGTGTGGTAGTTACAAAACAAGGGAGGGGATGGGCAACAGATTATGATCCGATCACATGATTTACAGGAAAATGAAACTTAAGTTAAGGCTAAAGCCTTAACTAAATTTTGGGGCATAGCTTCAATTTCATACGAGAAACTTTCACTTGTCCCACACAGAGCTGTATGATGATATAGTATTAATAGCCTAATTATGGTGAGATGAAACAAGTGTACCATTAGAACTTTAATGTCTACAAAGGGTACTGAGGTAATTAAACAAGAAAAACAAAGGATATAGCAGCTGGAGTGCATCTGCTCTGAGGGTTTATAGAAGGGAAAGAGAAAGGAGTGTAAAAAGAATACACTAATATAGAAAGAGGAAGAAGGGGATGGGACTTGTTCTTTGTCATCACTGGTGTGCATGGGAATAAGAGCACACAGACATGGAGAAAGGGGTAGGTGAGCATCAAAGTAATCTCACTGTCTTACAAAATGGACAAAGGAGGATTGTGCACACACATAGTTTCGTGTGCATACATACATCAAACTCGACACAGGGATATGAAAGGATGGGGGAGGGAGAGTAAAGAGGAAGGATAGTACTAGGAAGGGAATAGCCACAAGGAGAATTCAATGGGTAGGGAAGGAAAAACTAGAAACTAAGGTTAGTATTCGTGAATTAGGAAATGACTGAATGAATTACGGTAATATGAATGTGAGATAATATTATTATTGTATTAGAAATGATCAAAGAGATGTTTTCAGAGATTCTTGGATAGTACGAATTGATGCAAAGTGAAGTGAGCAGAACCAGGAGACCATCATCCAAAGACAATAACGTTGTCAAGAAAAAACAACTTTGAAAGACTTAAAAACCACAATGACAGTGACCAACCATGTCTTGGGAGCACCCATGATGAAGTTTGTTACTTCTACAAAGAGGTTCGTTTGTTTGACTATACTCATTTGTTTAAAAAGTGTTTTTCTCTCTCTCTTTCTCTCTCAGTTGAGGAGAATTTGAGGTAGAGAAGAGGAATTGGTAAATTGGTAATATTGAATCTTTAAAAAAGAGAACTACTGAAACTTTTTTTAAATGGACAGAAGGGAACAGAAGAAAGTTCAGAAGGAAATTCAGACTAGCAGGACAATTTTGAAAGTAATGCATGGAATGTACTATATACTTTAAAAAACATAAGCAATGAGAAATGGAGGTTTGTATTTTTATATACAATCCTCTTTTTCTTAAAAATTCTTCTCTCTAGACAGAAATGCTCTTATACTTTGGTATTTAAGTTCAGAACAAAACAAAACAAAAAATAGGTTCCCAAGGTTAGCTTCACAAAGCTAACCTGGCCAAGCAGCATTAAATAAACTTTTAAAGACAAATTTACTTGTGGAGGGGCAGGTGGGTGGTACAGTGGTAAAGATAGACCTGGAGTCAGCAAGACTTGAATTCAAATCTGACTTCAAATGCTTACTAGCTGTGTGACCCTGGGCAGCTCACTTAACCCTGTTTGCCTCAGTTTCCTCATTTGTAAAATGTGTCAGAGAAGGAAATGGCAAACCACTCCAGTATCTCTGCCAAGAAAACCCCATGGTCACAAAGAGTCAAATACAACTTAAACAACAGCAAATAACAATTATTTGTAGAGGGCTGGGAAGAGGTAACTGGGATACTGTAACATTGCTGTTGTGGAGGGTCATTGTTTGGAGCTGGAGGAACCTTGGAGTCTATCTAGTCTAAACCTTATGTTTTATAGATGAAGATCTGAGACCCAGAGTGGGGAAGGGAAATTAACTTCTCAAGATCAGCAAAGCTGGGACTTGAATTGAGGTTCTCTGACTTTAGAACCAGGGCTCCTTCCACTCCACCACAAGGCCTTGGTGGGCTCCAATTTGCTGATTTCTGTGCCTTGCTCTCTTGGGCTTTGATAATAATAATAATAATAGCTAACATTTATATGCTACTTTAAGGTTCACAAAGTGCTTTACAAATATCTCATTTTATTCTCACAGTACTCAAAGGTAAGTGCTATTATTGTTCTCAATTTATGGATGGGGAAACTGAAGCAGTTAATGAATGTCTTGCCTAAGATCACACACCTTTGGTTGATTCAACTGTGTCCAACTCTTCATGATCCCATTTGGAGTTTTCTTGGCAAAGATACTGGAGTGCTTTGCCATCTTGTTCTCCAGGCAACTGAGGCAAACAGGGTTAAGTGACTTGCTCAGAGTCACACAGCTATTAAGTGTCTGAGGCCACATTTGAACTCAGGTCTTCCTGACTTTAGGGTAGCACTCTATCCACTGTGCCACCTAGTTGCCCTTAATTTTACATTTAACCCTACTGAATTTCTCTTATTAATTTAACTCTGATAATTGCTTGTCTAGCCTGTCAAAATCTTTCTGGATCTTAACTGTCACCTGGTCTGTTAGCTGTCCCTTCCAGTTTTGTGGTATCTGTCAATTTGATGAGCGTGCCATTTATGCCTTTATTAAAGTCCTTATGAAGCACAGGTTAAACTACAGGTTCCTGGGACACTCTGCCGGAGACTTTCGGCCAACTTGACATCAATCCATTAATGTATATTCCTGGGTCTAATCATTCAACCAGTTCCAAATCCATCAACTTATATTATCATCTAGTCTACTTCTCTCCATCTTTTCCACAGGAACAGTATGAGATAACTTACTAAATCCTTTGCTAAAATCTAAGTAAACTATATTTACCACATTTTCCTGGTCTACTTACTAGTTTGGTATCCCTGTCCAAAAAAAAGAACAAGGAGGCAGCTAGGTGGTGCAGTGGATAGTATGCCGGCCTTCGAGTCAGGAGGACCTGAGTTCAAATCTGGCCTCAGACCAAACACTTGACACTTACTAGTTGTATGACCCCGGGCAAGTCACTTAACCCCAACTGCCTTAAAAAAAAAAAAAAGAAAAAACAAAAGGAACAAGATTAGTGGAGCATGACCTGTTCTTGACAGAGCCATACAGGCCATGCTATAATCATTGTTTCCTCTTGTGGATATACACCAATAGTTCTTTAATGATCCGTTCTAGAATGTTCTCAAGGGGAGGGCAGCTAGGTGGCACAGTGGATAGAGCACTAGCTTAAAGTCAGGAGGACCTGAGTTCAAATTTTGCCTCAGACACAGAACACGCACTAGCCATGTGACTCTGGGCAAGTCACTTAACTCCAATTGCCTCACACAAAAAAATGAAGGTTAAGTTCACTGGGATTATACTGTAGTTTCCTTTTTGGAAAACTGGAATATTTGCCCTCCTCCAGTCTAGCAGTGCCTTCCCTATTTCCCAGAGTCTTGAAAATACCACTGGTAGTGGCTTAGCAATAACATTTGCTGGAGATAGATAGATAGATAGATAGATAGATAGATAGATAGATAGATAGACAGACAGACAGATAGATAGATATGTGTGTATGCATACATGTATATATATACACACACACACATTTTGTTAAAACCTTGTGTCTTTACATTGTAATTATCTCTCTTGTTAACCCACCAGGACTGAACCATTTCTTATGACAAAGAAATACAATTCAGCAAAAACATTTGCTTCAAAAGCTCTGACGGTGTATATGATATTCTCACCAAGTAGTCTGCCTCCTCATTTCTATGAGAGAGAGTGGGTCTGTTTCATTCAGAGCTCTGTCTCTGGCATTAGAGGACCTATGTTTAAAACCTCCTCAGATGCTTTCACTACCTGAGTGAGCTTAGGTAAGTCACTTAAAGTCTGTGGGCCTTAGTTTCCTCATCTGTAAAATTAAGGGGTGGAACTAGGTGGCTTCTGAGGTTCCTGCCAGGTTTAGATCTATGATGCTCCAAGAACTTCATGGGTTTTTCCATGACTCAGAGCTAATTTCTTGTTGGTACTTTTGTCTCTCCCTGTCTCTCTGTCTGTCTCTCTCCCCCCCTTCTCTCTCTCCATTTATGTGCATGTATATTTTATCTTTATATATTTATACATACATATATACATATATGTATATATCTTTCAATATATGTATATTTGTAGGTATATATTTAGAATCTAGTCTCTGTATTTATATATATATATATATATATATATATATATATATTTAGAATCTAGCCTCTATATAAAATATAGAGACTAGATTCTAAATATATACATACATATAAATATATAAATTTTAAATATCTAGACTAGATTATAAGTATATGCACCTATAAATGCATATACATGAATATGTATATGTGTGTATATATGTATATTTGTAGACATACATTACTCTTTTGGTTCTGCTTATCAATTCATATTGATAAAGATCATACTGACCGCGCAGATCATATTGATGAGTTCATACATCAGTTCAGTATCAGTTCATACAACTCATCCCATATTTTTCAAGATTACTCATAATTGTTACTTCTTATTGGACAATAATATTTTGGGAACAGCTAGGAGAAACAGTGGATAGAGTGCCAGGCCTAGAGACAGAAAGACTCATCTTCCAGAGTTCAAATCCAGCCTCAGATACTTGCTAGTTGTATAACTGTGGGCAAGTCACTTAACCTTGTTTGCCTCAGTTTCCTCGTCTGTAAAATAAACCGGAGAAGAAAATGGCAAACTATTCCAGTTATCTTTGCCCAGAACACCCCAAATAGGGTCACAGAATCAGACATGACTGAAACGACTGAACAACAATAACAAAATAATATTTCATTAACTAACAGAGAGGATATGAGAGGACAGGCACACTAATACATTATTGGTGGACCTGTGAAGTAGTCCAGCCATTCTGAAAGCAATTTGGGAACTGTAACTGTAGAAATTCTTTAACACTGGAGATTGAACTACTACGTATAGACCCCAAAACTGATCAAAGAGAGAAAGGGCTCATATTTGCAAAACTATTCATGGTCTTTTGTTGTAGCAAACTAGAAATTAAAGGGGTGTCTATCGCCTGAGAAATGGCTGAACAAATGACAGTATATGTTGTAATGGGATATTGTTGCTCTAAAAGAAATGGTGACTGGCATGATCTGGGAAGACGTGGATAAACTGAAATAGAGGGAAGTGAATGGAACAAAAATAATTTGTGCAGTGACTGCAACATTGTTAAGAAACACAACTTGGAAGACTTCAGAAGGCCAATCAATGAAGTGACCAGTCCCTCATGACTCCCATGAGCTGATGACAAAGCTGGCTTTGCCTTGACAGAGGAAAGAAAGGTAATGGATTATTGGTGTCGAGCAAGACACGTATTTTCAGCCTTGGCCAATGTGTGCGTTTGTTTTACTTAACTGTACTTGTTAATTATAAGGAATTTTGAGTAGGGGGAACAGAGTTTGAGTTCCCCATCTGCCACTTACCATGTTATTTTCACAATCAATTAACCACCATTAATTAAGCATCTGTTAACGTGTGGGTTTCTTTGATAGTCACTGGGGACACAAAGGCAAAAAAAGAAAAAAAAGATAATCCCGACCTCAAGGAGATTGTATTCCACTAGAGAGAAATAACATACATACAGATAAGTGAATGCAAAATGTCTAATGTAGGTAGCAGGTAATTTGGTAGTGGAAGGAGGCACTGGGCACTGGCAGGATTTGGAAATGCCTCATGTAAAAGTGGCACTTGAGATGAGCTTTGAAGAAAGCTGTCTTTTAACAAGGTGGTGGCATTCCAAGCATGGGGTAGATACAGCATGTGCAGAGGCGTGGACATGAAAAAGGAATTATCACATGTGGGAAGTAGCAAGTAGGAACGGAGATAATAACACGATTATTGTGGAGAAAAAAATATTACATGCTGTTGAACACTATGAATGCGACCTATTATCACTACAGGCATACCTTGTTTTATTGCGCATCCCTTTATTACGCTTCACAGATATTGCATTTTTTACTAATTGAAGGTTTATGGCAACCCTGTGTTGAGCAAGCGCATTGGTGCCATTTCTCCAACAGAATGTGCTTGCGTCGTATTTCTGTGTCACAATTCTTGTGATATTTCAAATTTTTTCATTATTGTAATTGTTTTGGGGTGGCATGAACCCCACCCTTATAGGATGGTGAACTTAACTGATAAATGTTGTGGGTGTTCTTACTGTTCCACCAACTGGCTGTTCCCCATTTCTCTTCCTCTCCTTGGGTTTCCCTATTCCCTGAGACTCAGTAATATTGAAGTTAGACCGATTAATAACCCTTCTAAGTGTTCAAGTGAAAGGATGAGTCAATGGATGTGGCAAACTTCATTGCTGTCTTATTTTTAAAAATTGCCACAGCCACCCCAACTTTCAGCAGCTACCACCCTGATCAGCTTCCATCAACATCGAGGCAAGACCCTCCACCAGCAAAAAGATTACGACTCATTGAAGGCTCAGATGGTGGTTAGCATTTTTTTTTTAGCAATGAAGTATTTTTTAATTAAGATATGTACATTGGATTTTTTTTAACATAATATATTATTGCATACTGAATAGACTACAGTATATTATAAACATAACTCTTACATTCATTGGAAACCAAAACTTTTGTGTGATTTGCTTTATTGCAATATTCACTTTATTGCATGGTCTGGAACTGAACCCACAATGTTTCTGAGGTATGCCTGTATAGTCTTTCTTTTATCTCCTCCCAGGAAGTACTGCAATGCTCTGGAATAGGTAAATTATAGCCCTATATGAAGGAGGATGGAGTCAATGGTTTTTTCTGGGACTCCAGTGAAGAAATAAAAGACACTCCCAACCTACTCCTCCGGAGGTGAGAGGTCCACAGGTGTTACAGGTTGCATGTTTTTAGACTTTTTCAAAGTGTCAATCGATTGTGCTGGGTTTTTTTTTTCTTTCTTTCTCTTTATTGCTAGGCAATGGGGTTAAATGACTTGCCCAGGGTCACACAGGTAGTAAGTGTTATATGTCTGAGGCCAGATTTGAACTCAAGTCCTCCTGAATTCAGGGCCAGTGCTCTATCCACTGTGGCACCTCGCTGCCCCCCCCTTTTTTTTAGGCAATTGGGGTTAAGTGACTTGCCCAGGATCACACAGCTAGTAAGTGTTATATGTCTGAGGTCGGATTTGAACTCACGTCCTCCTGAATTCAGGGCCAATGCTCTATCCACTGTGGCACCTCGCTGCCCCTTTTTTTTTCCTTTCTAAAAAAATACTATTTGTCATATTGGGGTGGCTTTGGGGAAGCAGAGAATGGGGGTGAGGATACATAGAATACTATGGTGAGTTATGAAACAGAAAATGTCAGTAAAAACTTTTGAAAACTGGATCTCGGGTCAAAAATTGAGCTGTAAAGCATTGTGCTAATCACTATACATGACTATATAAGACCTTTTTCCCTTACAGCTAGTGCCTCCCCTCCTTGGTTATTTTAAATTTATCTTCTCTCTCTCTTAAGCTTAAATTAGTTATGTTGGCTCCACCATTAGACTGCGAGCACCTCAACTCTTAGAGCAGGGTCTGGCAAGTCCATTAATAAATGGACTGCAATAGCCAGCGCTTAAACTGGAGGACCCTCAAAGAGCTACCAGGATAATAGCTATTTGTTAGTTTACCTAAACTTTATGCCTGAATTACAGGCCATTAGAAAATGAAAAGATGCTTGCCTTTCCCAAGTGTTGGCCTTTCCATTGTCTGGGAGCCAAACCACAAGTCAACACTTTCATTTACAAATACCGTCTAATCTGGGCAGAAGGCTTTTGGTCAACAGAAAAGTCTTTGGAAAGGAAGGGGAAAATTAGAAAATTCATTCATTTGCTCGTTGTTTTTTCTTCAAGAGGACCTTTGAGACCCCCTCACAGCTAGGTTGGTTCACACCTGTTTTCAAAAGGACCAGATGGTAAATGTCAGCCCAAGTCTTTCAAGTCAGCCTGCATTCTTCTCTCCAGCTTTCTGGGGCTTTACGAGGCAGACACTTCTTAATATTGTTTTCAAATTTCAAAATTAGGGAGCATGATAAGGATGGCGCTTTGTCTCGTGGGGAACTTTTGTGTATCTAGTTGTTGTGGAGAAGGGTTATGTTGCTGCTCAAGTCTATTTCCCTAGCCTCTGTCTGTACTCAGGCTCAATCAATGTATTTAGCCCCAGTGGGAGCTCCTAACCCATAAGATAGGGGTGTACCCAGCCCCAGTTATTATGCCTGGCTTCTCTCCTTGTGCCCAGCTCTAGTGGGTGTGTCTATCCTCTGAAGGGTCCCCAGACACTCAAGGTGATCCCATCCCCTGTGTTTAAGAAACGCTGATTTTTAGAGTCTAGGGACAATCTTTTATTATCGTCACATCCTGGCCCAGCCTCTTCTAGAAGATGGATGAGCTCAAGACAATCTTATAATTTTTTTAAATTTTAAAAATTTAATTAAATTCATAATAAATAAAATTAAATTTAAAATCCTCCCCTCATTTAAAATTTTTTTTGAGTTCCAAATTATCTCTCTCCATCCCGCCCCCCCCAGCAATATGATATCAATTATACATGTGAAATTACATAAACTATATTTCTGTATTAGTCTTGTCAAGGCAGTCTTCTGAAGCGCAGTCAGTATCTCCTAATCCTCACACTTTCACCTCAGCTCTTGGACTGATGAGTTTCTCCCTCTGGGAGTGTCTTTCTTCCGTCTTTAGTCAGGGGTATGAGCAGGACTATGAGGCATGAGCTACAATGAGGATTCCGAATCTTTTTTTATGTCACATACCCCTTGTGCATTCCTACTGCTCATGGTGGAATTTATGAACTCAAAATAATATTTTTGAATATATAAAATAAAATACTGATGGACTTTGTTGGTAATATATCGAAATGCTGATGAATATTGAATAATATTGATGAATATTGAAATAAAGATGCACTTTTTTTCTATTCAGGTTCACAGAACCCCAGAAATCTATTTAAAGATGCGATGGATCTCAGGTTAAGAAAGCTTAGGCTAGAGGGAGGCCTCCAGCCCTTTCCCCTGCCTCATTGAACTATGCATATAAATCTCTTCACCTTTGGGAGGAGTCTGCTGGCAAAAGCAGGCCACTCCCTGTCCTCTAAGGCACGTAGCTGTCTCCGGCCCTACACTCGTCTAGAGGTTTGTATTCTCCTTCCTTGAGAGTCTTGGTGACAAGAGGAAACTATGAGTCATTCATCATTCATTCTCCACCCAAGTGGTGCTGTGTCCTTTCCTAGGGGTAGGGGAGACAGGTGTTTACAGGTATATGGAGAGGAGTACACAGACCCCATCCACAGGAGGGTGAGCAATGGGGTGAGTGCCAAGAAAGGACAGACAGACTGAGAGGAAGAGAGAAGAGACTGAGACTGGGTAATAGACGCAAAAAACGAAAATGAAACAAGCAATATAAACATAAGGTATTATTAAGGTGGTTGTGATTACTAGTTAATCTAGTAATAGATTAGCAGTAATAGAGATTAGTAGTGATTGCCCTAATGCAGAGGGGGCTGAAACACCCAAGGGAAGAGAGAAACAGAGATTATACACAAGTAGATGGAGAGAGGGAGTGGAGAGTAGTAGAGAGAAAACCAATGATGAAATCAAAGAGACCTGGGTTCAAGGTGTGCCACCAGTATAAAGTGGTCATGTGACCCTGAGCAAATCATTTATTCTCTGGGTGCCTGAGGCAATTTTTTAAGACTATAAATTGCAGAACAGTTGCTGGTTTGCATTGCTAGGAGAGCTCCCCACACCAATGTCAAGGTCAAAAAAAAGCTTGAACTGGAAACCAAGACACATGGGTTCTTGACCTGGCTCAGCTGAGGAAATAAGAAGGAAATAAACAAGCATTTAAAAAATATCTACTATGTGCTAGGCACTGTACAAGCACCTTGAAAATATTAACTTATTTGAGCATCATAACAGCTTGGAGGTAGGTGCTGTTATTATCTCCATTTTACAGTTAGGAAACTGAGGCAGAGTCGTTAAGTGACTTGCTGGGAGTCACACAGCTAGTTTAAGAAGCCCAATTTGAACTCAGGTCTTCCTGCCTCCAGGCCCAGCTCTCCATCCACTTTACCATCTTGCTCTTTAGCCCAGGGCGGACACATTTATTGAGGCTGCTGGGGTGTTCAGACTCCTATTCCTCCCCAGGGGATTATGATTAGGGCAGGTGGGATCTCCCAAATCTCTCCCCCGGGTCAAAAACCCCACTAGTTTTTAGAAGGCTGTAGGGCAGATGAAGGATCATTCAGCCTCTCCCTCCTGCTGAATGTCCAAAGTGTAAATAAG